TTCAAAGCATTATTCAAGATCCTTGGGTGGTGCCTGAGCATACTGCTGACCTACTAAACTGTTGGATGAGAAGAGGGGGGAGTAAAACACAGAAAAAATGGTGGAATCTAGTTCCATCTTGCATATGGTGGTCAATTTGGAAGGAAAGAAACAATAGGTGCTTTAAGAATATTACTAACCCAATGCAGAAAGTTAAAGAAAACTGCATTAATACTCTATATTTTTGGTGTAAAGAAGAGGGTATATATGAAGTAGATCAGTTAGTAGATTTCATAGGCTCTTTGTAATCATGACTATTTGGCCTTTGAATGTTTTTTTTTGTTTGGTTGCCAGCATACCCTCATTGCTGATGAATACAACTTTACCATTCTCAAAAAAAAAGAAATAGAGCAGAAATGGGAGTAGTAGGATTGACTTCCCAATTATTTCAGGTTTTGATGGATTTGGTGGTAGTGGATATAAACTACATACATAAATTGTACTTGGGCAATTTTGAATTAGACTGAAAACAAACTGTTTATTTTGGTTCTATAAACCAATAAAGGAACGTAGCAGACATAAAAAAGTTGTTCATGCATCAACGAGGATCATTTATCATTTTGTTTTTCGATGGGGTACTTATAAGAATTGAGTTATGCAAAATGCACGAAGGCACTTTATAGAATGAGTTCTTTCCTTTACGACAACAAACAACTGATAATGATAGGATATTTAGTACAACAATAAGATACCCAATGTGATCCCACAAGCGCGGTCTGTGGATGGGAGAGTGTACACAGACCTTAACCCCTATCTTGTGAGGTATAGAGGCTGTTTTGGATAGACCCTCGGCTCTAGAAAAACATTTCAAAGCTGATAGGATATTTTGTAAGAGATAGAAATTCTTTCTGGGCATGCAGGAATAATGAAGGCACTTAATACACCAAATCAAACAGGCATAAGAAATAAGCTCAGCATAACTAGTGACAACATAAACTACTATCAACATCACTTATACACCCACCCTATCCAGCACTATTCTTATACACCTTACTAAATGAACCCTAATAGAGTTGTAAAAGCAACTTTCAAAAGCACTAAGATAATGAACTGGGTGCTAGATTTTCATCTTGAGCTGGGTACCGAATATGTATTTTAAAATGTAACATTTCAGTAAGATATCTAGCTTGATTTCAAAAAAAAAAAAAAAAAAAAAAAAAAAAAAAAAGATATCTAGCTTGATATTAGAATTTTTGGTTGAACTGTTCAATTCTACAATGTTCATGGTCAATTTTGCAGCACTCGTGTTCGTAGTATGCAATACATGTTCTTTGACTATGTATGTAAAAAGATAGCAAAGCGAAACTTTGAAGATGTCTAAGTTTGAACTCTACTTGATAAATACTGCTCAGTTTATAAGGCTTGTAAGCATGAACTTTCTATCTCTCTCGCATGCTTATCATTTCCTTTTTTTGAAGTGTAGATGTGAGCTGCTGCCATTCCAAATTTCAAACTTGAATTATGAATTGGAGTTGCCGGCCCCAGCTGAGTTCTATGCAATGTCAAAGCTTTAAGAGAAGCTTTTGAACTAGCCGGGACCAAGTTGAGGTATTTCTTGAGTGAAGAGCTCTCTGAAGTTCATTATTCAACCACTTCATGCATATACTTTGAGAAGAGGATCAGAAAGAAATTCTGCCATCTCGCTTTGGAGAGAGGATAAGGCTGCAGTCACCACATTTGCCTCTGTAATTTCCTGTAATGAGTAATGAGAAAAAACAATCTTTACAGATTCAAGATGAACTATATAGCAGTGACATTCATTTATTGTTGTTTTTATCTATTAAGTTTCCACCATTACAATTGTAATCTCATCTGGTTTGAATTATGTTGTTAAATATAATCATTCAAGGTTGACACAAACTATTGGGGAGTAAGTCCTCAGTACCAAACATGTTGTGTCCGATTCGATTTAACCAAGCAGAAGAGTGCTCTGGAATCTTATGACTGGCATTTCCAGCGCTGGATTTAGCATTTTCTTCGCTTGGATGACCATCTACGAGATTAACTCTAGGTGATCTTGTGGATTCTGTAACCAGAAGTTTCGAGCTTGAGTCCTCGGGATGGAAACATTCTTTGATAGGGAGCGCTTCTTCCAGTAATAAGCACAAAGTATCAGGCCAGTGGGATTCGGATACTGACATGCACCTCCTTTCAGATCTCTTGGAACTCTGCCTCAAAAGTAAGGAGCTCTACAATATTTCCTTCTTATCTTTACTGATCTTGGAGAAACAGTAAAATTGTCTGTGTGACCTATAGGTCATGGGCTTGAGCCGTGAAAGCAACCACTAATACTTGTAGTAAGGTAGGTTGTCTCATCACACCTCTTGGGATGCGACTGTAAATATATTATTGCAATGAATGGGACTTAAGTCCCACATTGGTTAAAGGGGGAGCTAATATGGGGCTTATATAGTGTTGGGCTCTCCCACCTCAATAGCTAGCTTTTGGGGTGCGGTTCTCGTGAGGTTGTAGCAAAGATTACAGGTCTTGTCTTCTAAATGATCCATAAAAATACATCTTATTAAAGAATGAAGATCACAATTACTGCATATTTGGTTAATGGCTTCCAAGTTCCAAGTATATGAAGCTTCTGTCTTCAGTATTTCTCCATCTAAGTTCCTCTTTAAGATGCATATGTCAATGTAGTTTTGTACAAGGGGTCTTAATTGCTAACTTGCTAGTTTTTCGAAATGTACATAAAAAGTACTAAAGTTCTTAAATGGAGTGAAATAGACAGTGAGGATTCATATAGTCTATCCCAACTAGCTTCGTATTAAGTAGTAGTAGTTGTTGTTGTATAGTAATTAAATGTCTCTCAGTGCAGGGAAACAAGATATATGTAGCCTCCTTGGATAAAAGAAGATCTTTTGGTAAACTAGTGTTGCTTTACAAAATCTCTAAAAATAATATGCTCACACTAAGTAATTTTCATTATTCAGTCTGCATAATAGAACAGAGAGCTGGTTTATAACTTCATAAAGCAACACTAACTAGTCTCAATCAGCAAGAAAGTTTATTTTAAGTTGTTAAAGAAAGTACAGGTAATCAAATAAACAAAAATACTCCTCTATGGCTTTACTAATTGCATAACTCATAGTATGAGATAATTCATCATTTCTCTGCTTCACTGTGAACCATTCAGCTCATAATCTTTGTTTTTTTTTTGCCCCTCTTCTTCAAGACTTCAGTGCCTATAACTTAGTAGACATAGCCCTTTACAAACATTCCTTGTTTAGCTTCATCAGATTCACCCTCACCGGTGTACTTTCCGAGCTGAGCAAGAGAGTTTGCTTTGGCCCTGACAAGTAAAGTATCCTGAGCAGCCTTCACATTCTCAGGTTGTCCTCCCCATGTCTTCAAGCAAGTGTTCTGAAGAGCCCTTGCGTAAGAGAACGACACGTGCCACGGGTTTGGAGCTTGGTTCATGGCATTCAAGTTCAATGTAGCCTCAACTTCTGATTGCCCACCAGACAAGAACTGCTCACAACCCAACAATATTGAATCAATTAGCATAAGATATGTACTTTCACTTATTCATCTACCACTAGCAATGGACTAACAATTCATATTCTATATGTTGGGAAAGTAAAGTTACTATAAACTTCTTCTTTTACCCTTAATGTCATGCTCTTATAGCCTGTTAGAATGTTCAAGACCTAAGTTTTAAGGGTACTTCTGATATGTGTAAAAAAATTTCCTTCTTAAACTTTGTGCTCAATCAGACACTGTCATATAAAATGAAATGGAGAGAAACTTGCCATGATTCCAGGGACAGCTGGGGGAATCCTCCTCTTGAGGAGATTGAGAGTATAGTCTGCGACCTGCTGAGGAGTGGCCCTGTCTTTGCATTCAGCACCAGGAGTAACCATGCTTGGTTTCAAGAGGATACCCTCAAACATGACATTGTTCTCAGCCAAGTAGAAGAAGACTTCAGCCCAGACCTTCTGTGCTACCTCAAAAGTCCTGTCAATGCCGTGTTCACCGTCCAACAAGATCTCTGGCTCCACAATTGGGACCAAACCATTGTCCTGAGAAATGGCAGCATAGCGAGCCAATCCCCATGCTGCTTCCTTCACAGCCAATGCAGACGGTCCGTTGGGAATGCTCACCACGGTACGCCTACAAGTTACCATAATTTTAGCATTAATCTTAAGATGGGTCGGTTATATGAATCCTCACTGACTTGTCGCTCTATTTTAATTCATCTCATACCAATATTGTGCAAAATAAGGATAGACTAGCATATAAACTTCTAACATGATGAAAAAACTCTTTGAAACAACTAATTGGTATCGTCCATAGAGATTTTTTCTTCCTCTGTTGTGTCTATTATGAGAAAATAGCAAAGTGAATGAGGACTTCAAATGTACCATTTGGCGAAACGTGCTCCCTGTTGGTAGTATGCAGCAGAGCGGGAGGCAAGTCCGTCAAGACCTTGACACCATGACTCATCATTTGAACCAGCAAGTGGAACCAAACCCTGTGAACAGATATAATGATTAGGGGATTGACAGATATCTCATTTCAGTATAACTTGTTCTTGTTAAACATATATAATAACCCTGCCTTTCCTCTTCTATTGTTAGTACAACTACATATATAACCAAGCTAGTTGGGGTTGGTTATACAAATCCTTACTGATCATGTCATTCCATTTAAGTTTCTGCTCAGACCAATATTATACAAAATAAAAGTTACTAAAAGTTCACTATATTTTCTCACCGGCAGCATTAACTCTTTACTATGGTCCTTTTTCAAGTTGTGGGTGCAGGTTAATATACTATACCTTGTCAACTTTGATACCAGGAACAATGTTTTGCTCAATAAGAACATCAACTATTTTGCGTCCATCAACGGTAGACTGGTAGAGGGTCTCCTCAAAAAGAATAGCACCAGAGATGTACTGTCCAAGGCCTGGAGCTGACACCAGCAAGGTACGGTAAGCTTGGCGGTTAGCCTCAGTGTTTTCCAAACCAATGGAAGCCAAACGCTTTCCACAAGTGGCATTCGACTCATCCATGGCCAAAATTCCACGTCCTGGTGATGCAACAGTTTTCTACAAATAACAAACACTTCATTGTTAGCAAGGAAAATTTGTAAAGTACACAAGCTCATAGCTAAGAGTTCAAGTTATACACAGTAACAGTATAAAAAAATTGTGTACTATCAAAGGTGTAATATAATTACGTATTTGGAAACTTTTTCAAGCAAATGAGCATTTCCCCTTTTTCTTGACAGAATAACTGATTGATGCATAAAATTTAATCTACACCTTTCATCCTTATTACAACTACTAGATATTTCGGTTTCCAATTAGCGACTATAACCTCAGAATATTTAAACTGAACAATTCACAAGAAGAAATATTCTGAATTCAAATTTAACCGGTTATAACATATTATTACTCTATTTTTCAGGTTAACAAATAAGGCATGTCATGAAGAATTACATGCTGGTAGCGTAAGAATTCCTTATACTGATAGTACACAAAACATAAACTCGTTAAACTAAAACTTACAGCAGTTTTAATGAGCTCATCAGCATAAGAGGAAGCAGCGCGGACAGTAAGAGAAGTGGCATTGGTGGGATGGCAACGGACCACTGAGACGGAAGGCTGACGAAGGCTTTGCCCCTTTAAAAACTCAGATTTGTCAAGAACTGGGGATGACTTTAGTAGAGATGCTGAGGCCATTTTTTTTCTTTACTTTAAATTTTTTCCTCTCTACAAGAAATCTCCTTATCTCTCAGCACAATCTATTCTCAATGTCACTCTTTGCCACACAAATTTCTCAAGCAGAGTGCTAAAATTTATAACTGTGCTAAAGTGTCATTGAAGATGTATCATTTGAGGTGGTTATGAGCCAACCAATGACTGTTTGACATGTAATCTTGATTAGTTTGTCTACTTGGCACATTGTACAAGTTGTTGATTTAGATGGAATTATTGTAATGGTAGACAAACGTGAGGCTCTGATTAGCAATCCTACCTTGAGTGGCTTGGTAACATTTCCCTTTTTGTTTTGGTTATCCCAAGGTGATCAGTGGTCATGGTTCAGTTCCAGGATTGGGTTTGACAGTGACTTTCAAATATTCAACAATTCCTTTTTTTAAAGTAATAATAGTGTCCGAACCAATTTGCATGCACCTCATATAATCCTGCAGGATACCTCCAAAAATTGCCCATTGCGGAAAATTCGTCACTACTTACCGTCTCACGGCTGAAAAAATTACTCAGAAAAATTTCATGCACCACATCTAAAATCCCATCTATTGTATCAGCCAACAGACTCCAGTTCAAAGGAAGGAAAGCATTAACTAAGTAATCTATACCAATGTACAAGGAAAGTTGAAGGACAAAAACCTGTTTTCTTACACTAGTTGCTACTTAATAATCAAGCTAAACAGGGATAGTAACTAAAACATAGAACAACATCCGCAAATTTCTGGCTGAGCATATATGATCGTCTTTCCTTCTTGGACCATGCACAGGCATTCGACCCTCTTTCTATGAGAAATCAAGTCAGAAACAGTAAGCTGCAAAACAGATTTGTTGAATTTTTGTTTAAACTACTTGAGCTTTGCATCTAAAGCAGCATGCTCCAGATCAGAATTTGGATTTGCAACATAAGTTAATCAGTCGTTGGATTCAATGACATGTCATCGAGGCCAGAAACGATATCATCAACCAACTTGTCGACCAGTACTTCAACATTTTCAGAAGCTGGAGGGATGGAGTCCACGGAGCTTCCTACAAGGGCTTTGTTGAGCTGTTTAACAAGTTCATCTTCCTCATCGGGAATGTCAAGTTCCCAGACCTTGAATATATAGTCATCCAAATTTTCCTCAACAAATGTTGAAAATTCTGAATCTACTTCAGAATCGGAGGCTTCAACTATTCTCATGTCCTCATTATAGGTGGAAGAAAAAACATTTTCTAAGTTAATTCTGGACCAAAAAGTATCTGGATCTTTGTTATTAATCAGATGACGAGTAGTGTCCCCTTCTTGTTCATTGGTTGGAGAAAAATTATAAATCGTGTCATCTACAATCCCTGAAATTCCTGTCTCTTCAATGGTGGGGACAATACGAGAGTCTTGAGGAGAGTCATCCCTCATCACTGCAGAAAAGATTGTTTGGGAAGGAAAAGTGTCCAGTAAGACATGTTTCAAAGAATCCATGCCGTGGTCCAATATAGCAAGATCATTAATGAGGCATGAGTCAGCCCATGCTACATCCTCAGGTGAAAGCACAACTCCACTCTTGTTGCTATCTATAGAATTGAGGTCAAGCGGAGAAGCACTGTCATCTTTCATCTCATCATCAACAGCCATGGCCATGGCCATGGAGAGAAGTTCAGTCATATTCCTTAGCAACCGCCCTGCAACAGAAAGTACATAGGTAAAGCCTTCAGGAACCATCAACAAACACTTTATGATGATAGGATCCAAGATACCATCCCCTCATCAGTTAATGACTCCAAGCACAAGCAATTAAAATAAAACCACAATAGAACGGTTTCAAATGTCATGAAACTCAGGTTTCAATAACAAAAAGATGGCAAAAAGTGGGTTACTAGCATCAACAATTCCTCACCAGGGAAATCTTCGGAATCAAACCTAAACAATTATAATACCAAGCAAGAAAGAGACAGATGAATATCTTCAGCTGTTGTAGCAGACTAGTACTGCCTATAATTGATGAAATCAGTTAAAAGGCTTGGTGTGAGTGTCACTACTAAGAGCCAGACCAGAATTAAACATACAGAAGCATCAAGGGAAGGAGGGTTCAATAATATACTCCCTACTTGGCCATACGGAAAGAGAGAAGCAAACTTCATTCAAATGAAAGAATCACTCATCATGTAAGGTCTCGGTGTACTTGATAGAATCCAAAGGCAGAACCATTGAAGGTGCAGCAGACATAGCCAACATAATAACATCAGGAATGACAAAGAGTAACCACTTGATTTGCATTTACTATAACATTAGCGCTAAAACGTTAAACAACTTCTAAACCAAACCCTTTTCTTCAACTATCAAAAGGGTTCTTCACATATAGAAACCAATTATATGAGACTATTCCTCAAGGATGCAATTCTATGATGACTAATATTTAAATGTATAACCTTTACTCCGTTAAGTTTCCACAACAACATGAATTCAGTATTAGCTCATTGCTACAGCTCCTACCTTGCATCCTTACCGGCCCTTCCTTTCCACTTCTGCCTACCTCAAGCTTCTCTCACACACAGCAAAAGGGTGAAAGTAGCTGGTTAGTCCAAACTTAACAATATTCTTTCATATTGACTTTGGAATGAACAAGCAGAGGTTTTATACATGAAATATGAAGTACTAGCAAAAATGCTAAAGCACCCAATCTTTTTCATGTACCAATGAAACAATCATCCCTTATTTTTTTGATAACCATGATGTCTCTCGCACATTGACTAATTGCACGAGATACCTGCCACCTCCCACGAAAAACAACAAGTACCAAATAACTTTGTCCACCAAGACTAGGACACGAGAAAAAATCACCTTATGTTGTTGCCTCTGCTTAAATTTGAACCTGAAACCTTCTCGACTAATTCCACGGATACCTGCACCCTCCCACCAACAACAAATATCAGGTAACACTATCCACCAAGACTAGGACATATGCAAAGGAATCACCTTTATATTTTCGTCTCTGCTGAAATTTGAACCTGAGACCTAATGAAACAGTGAATACTTTACAATCACATTTTCTAAATCAGAGACATTCTGCAAATAGTTTAGCAAATAATTTGTCAGTCCTTCAATCATGCAATGCTCTTCTAACAAAACCGAGTCCAGCAAGTATGTGTCTTTTAGACTGAAAATCGAGTTCAATAGTTCTTTATAACCTAAGATTATCGAAACAATAAATCAAGACGAAAAACACAGAGTAAATCGCCTAACTTTATATAGCAGCAAAAATGTCAAATGGATTGAAGGAATTGAAACGAAACCAAACTTCAAAGCTTGAACTTTATCATCTCCTTTCCAGAAAGAAAAAAAAAAGAACTATAGAAATGGCAAGATACCTTAATTTATGAGTTCAAAAATGTGGAAGCACAAACCGAGACACATACGTCAACTTATATGCCCACCGCCCACCGTTTCGTTTCTCTCAAAGAAGAGAAAAGAAGTAATAAAAGCGATCCAATCAATGTTTCAGCTTCAAGTACAAACTTAGAATAGAGGGATTTATTTTTTTGTGAGGGAAAGTAAGAATTTGGGCCTTTGAATAGAGGGATTTGGGCTGTATTTTTTGGGTGGGGAGAGAAAAAAGAAGAAATTTTACAAGAAAAAAAGTTTTTTAAAACTAATTTTCCGTTGCCGGGACTTGAACCCGGGTCTCTCGGGTGAGAGCCGAGTATCCTAACCAACTAGACTACAACGGATTTGTTGTAAATTTTCCATTTTAAAATTAAATCGTAAAAATAAAAGATTTTCTTATCATATTGTTTACCCTTTTCATATGGAAAAGGTTATATTATGAAAATAACTTTGTAATAAATCACAAAATAATATTTGAACTGAACTTCTTGAAATGTCATAAAATATAGTGTACTCATGCGGTGGCGGAGCCAGAGATTTTAATAAGGGGTTCAAAATTTGAGAAGTAAACACACGAACTAGTGGAAGGGGGTTCGACATCTATTATACATACCTAAAAAATAATTTTAATCATGTATAAATAATAATATTTTTCGCCAAGGGGGTTCGGCATTATATGTTGCCTCCGCCCCTGTAGTCATGTAATATATCGTAATTTTCTCTTGTGGGAAGAGCAGTAAGTCAACATATGCATGCAAAGAACATATAATTTAAGAGTGTGTTGATTAGATAATTGGATGTATTAGAAAATAATATATGATCGTTCGAATCTAAATAGACTCAGCTCAACAGAGACAATTTTGATTAGGATTCAAAATTACAATCATGTTCAGGTCATTCGAATATGATCATAATTTATGTCCGGCACGATATATAGCGATAATGATCTACTCATGGAGTGAAGTTATTGATAGTTTATTTTTGTCCCGATAATATAAGGTTTACCAGGTGACTAATCCCAAATAAATTGAAATTTTCTTCAGTAATTATGTATTAATTTAATGGCTTTAACGTGTAGATAATGATTATTATTAAGATGGAATACATGGGAGACGTTATATAGGGCTTAGATTATAAGATTGAACACCCCTTCAACTGTAACCTAATTTGTTTTTGTTCTTATTTTTATATAAATAAAAAGAGTATTTAATTTTTATATTTTGCATATCTTCTCGACCTTTAATTATCAATTTAATAAAGACCTTATTGACAAATATTTAATAACCTTATTGACAAATGAATGCCCACGCGTCTCTATCTGCCCCATGCCTTGCCATTTAATATGTGTGTGTGATTTCTCTATCTTGCTTCTTTTATCTCTTCCTTTTCCTTTTGACCAAATACTAAAAAGAAAATTGCAAACTGAAATGAAATAATGTAGTTTCTTTTTCTTCTCTCAAAGTGAATTTGGATATTTTTAATATCTATGTTTTAAAGTTACTTTACAGATGTCTTTTTTACTATTGATTTTGCCACTTCAATAAAAAAAGATTGTCGAATATATGAAATGCAACATATATAAAATATTAATAATATCATTAAATATTATCAATAAGAAAATATGTCATTTTTTGTAATCGCCTAAAAAATAAATATGTTACATAAATTTAGGGCCGAAAAAATACATTAAGACTACTTTT